TTAAGCTATCAAATACTATATAAATAGTTATATGTTACTTAAAAATTAATATTATCTTTATTTTGTATTTTTTCTCATTTTTTGGATCTGTGACATTGAGTATAAGGATGTAGAACTTGTAGATATGGAAGGCTGATTGTCCCATACCACCTTGTATTAGGGACTTGAACATTGGTGGATTTTGGTATCTGTGGGGGATTCTGGAATAATCCGCTGCAGATACCAAGAGCCTAGTGGATTTAAAAACTTTGTGTTGTACACAATAAGAATATGCAATTTAATCTCTTAATAGAAAATTGTTTTGAGGAACCTTTATACTGTTTTTCATAAAGGTTGTACCAGTTTGCATTCCCGCCAACAGTGTGCAGGAGGTCCCTTTTCTTTACATACTCACAAAAACTGTATGAGTGAGAATATATGGTACTCTGTTCTTTGTTTCCATGATAGATCACTGTGTATGATCTACTCTAAATCCATCCATGTTGCTGCAAAGTCCGTATGTTTGTCCTTCTTTATGGCTGCAAAATATTCCATTGTGTATATGTACCAGTTTTTAAAAATCTAGTCCAGCTTCAATGGGCAACATGGTTGGTCCTGTTTTTGCTATTGTGAATAGAGCTGCAACAAGCATATATGTGCAGGTATGTTTTTTGTAAAATGATTTGAGTTCCTCCGGGCATATTCCCAATAGGGGAATTGTTGGTTCACATGGAAGGTCAATTTATAGTTCTTTCAGAAATTGTCACATGTCTTCCAGAGAGGTTGAACTGGTTTGCATTCCCACTAGCAGTATAGAAGTGCTCCTTTTTCTTCACAACCTCACCAGCATCTGTTCTTGTTTGTTTTATTAATGATGGCCATTCTTACTGGGGTTAGGTGGTATCTCAATGTTGTTTTGATTTGCATTTCTCTGATGATGAGTGAGGCCGAGCACTTTTTCATGTGTCTGTTGGCTGCCCATATATCTTCTTCTGAGAAGTGTCTATTCATGTATTTTGCCCACTTTTTAAAGGGGCTGGTTGTTTTTTTCCTTTCTGGATGTTTGAGTTACTTGTGGATCCTAGATGCTAGGCTTTTGTCAGATATACAGTTTTCAAATATTTTTTTCCATTCTGTGGGCTGTCTCCCTGCTTTCATGATGGTTTCTTTTGCTTTGCAGAAGCTTGTTAGTTTGATGAGGTCCCACTTGTCTATTTTATTTCTTAAGGTATTGAGTTTTAGGGTTCTGAATAGGAATTGGTTGCCAGTTCCAATTTCCATAAGGTTTCCTCCTGCATTTTCTAAGATTCTTAGAGTTTGAAGTATTACGTTTAGGTCTTTGATCCATTTAGAGTTAATTTTTGTATATGGTGAAGGGTAGGGGATCTGTTTCAATCTTCTGCATGTGGTCAGCCAGTTTTTCCAGCACCATTTACTGAATAGGTTCTCCTCTCCCCAGAGGTTGCTGTTGGAGGCTTTGCCAAAGATGGTTGAGCAATTGAGGCTTTGCTTCCGGAATCTCTATCCTGTTCCATTGGTCCGGTGCCTGTTCTTGTACCAGCACCGGGCTGTTTTGATTACTCTAGCCTTATAGTAAAGTTTGAAGTCTGGAAATGTGATACCTCTGCTTTGTTTCTTTTGCTAAGGATTGTTTTGGCTATTCATGGTCTTTTATGTTTCCATATGAATTTCTGTATTGTCATTTCCAGGTCTGAGAAGAATGATGTTGGTAACTTAATGGGTACTGTGTTGAATCATAGAATTTGATTTATGGCCAATGATGTGATCAATCTTGCTGTATGTTCCATGTGGTGATGAGTAGAATATATATTCTGTGGTTGTTGAATAGAATAATCTATAGGTATCTATTAAGTCCATTTGGTCTAGTGTCAATTTTGGTTCTGGATCTCCTTGTTGATTTTTTGCCTTGATGATCTAGGACTGTCAATGGGGTATTCAAGTTTCCTGCTATAGTAGTGTTAGAGGCAATATCTTTTTTAGCTTGCTTAGTAGTTTTATAAATGCTGGTGCTCTTTTGTTGGGTGCATATATGTTTAGGATTGATATTTCTTGTTGATGGATTGAACCTTTTATCATTATGTAGTGTCCTTTTGCACCTTTTTAAAATTTTGATAGCTTAAAGGTTTTTTTTGATATTAAGATTGCAACTTCTGCCTTCTTTTGTGATCTATTTGCCTGGAAACTTATTTTCCAACCTTTAACTTTGAGTCTGTGTGCGTCCCTTGAAGTGAGATGAGCCTCCTGGATACAACAAATAATTGGGTCATGGTTTATTATCTAGTCTGTCATTCATTCTGTGTCTTTTCAGTGGTGCATTTAGTCCATTCACATTCAGGCTGATTATTGAAATATGATTGTTTATCCCTGTCATGAAGTTCTTATAAAATTTTTCCTCTGTTTGCTTGTTTTCTTTTGGCTTTGGAGATAATGTATATGTGTGTTTTCATGTTCCTTATTGTGCTGTATTCTCTGCTGATTCTGTGCTCTGATGTTCTCTTGGGAAGTGTGTGATCAATCTTTTTCTTCTTTCTTCTGTGCTTAATACCTTTTAAAGTGTCTCCTGTACAGCTAGTCTGTAATTTTCATAATCTCTTAAGGATTGGATGTCTGGGAAAGATTTTAATTCTCCATTACTGATGAAGCTGAGCTTGACTGGATAAGAAATTCTTGGTTGAAATTGTTCATTTTTGAGGACTTTGAATATAGGGCTCCAGTTCCTTCTTGCTTGTAGTGTTTCTGCAGATACGTCTTCTGCTATTCTGATTGGTTTACCCTGGTCGGTAGTGTGACCTTACTCTCATACTGCCTTTAGAATTTTTTCTTTTGTGCCTACTTTGTGTAGGCAAATTTCTATGTGTCTAGGGGTTGGTCTTCTCATTTGATGTGTTGTGGGGGTTATTTGTATCTCTTGTGCTTGGCTTGTCATATCTCTGGCAAGATGGGGAAAGTTTTCTTGGATTACTTCCTGGAATACTTACTTCAAGTTGTTTCCATTTCCCTTTTTTCTTCTGGGATGGCAATCAGGTGTAGGTTCAGCCTCTTGATATAATCTCACATCTTTTGTAGGCTTTGTTTTTTCTCTCTGAGTCTTCTTTCTATGTTTTTTACAGATTGGGTTAATTCCATGTTCTTGTCTTCAAGTTCTGAGATTCTTTCTTCAGCTAGATTAATTCTGCTTTCCATGCTTGTCATCTTGTTATTTATTTCCTGGATGAAATTTTTTATTGCAAAAATCTCTGTTACATGTTCTTTCAGTGTTGCATCTTGTCTTTCTTGAGTTCTATTTACTCTTTTCAAACATTCCCTAATCTCTGTCGTGTTCTGGGGACACTCTTTGGTGACTTCCATTGTTTGGGCACCAAGGTCTGGTTTTTCAGAAGTTTTGTCTTTGGTACACTTGAAATTGCCTGAGGTCTTCTTTGGCTTTTTCTCATTTGTGACAAATCTCTTGCTTTTCTTTTTAGTTTTGTTATTCAGTGCCAGTGGGAGAAGGTTTCCCTTCATTTCCTGACATTTGCACATTCCTCTGTTATTCCCTTATTCAGGCTTTGAATTTGTTCTATTATGAAATAGGATGGTGGAAGGGAAGCTTTGCTGCCACCTGTAGTTTTCAAAATTTGAATGAATTAGGAGATGGGGTGCACTGATCTCTTTGGAGTTCTTCCTCCTCCTTTTCTGGCCACACCATTTGTCCCACAACTGGATCACAGTAGGGGGTCAGGCACATGGAACACAGCACTCATCAGGTGCCTCTGAAGTTTGTACTCTCAGGATTTTCCCTTTGGGCCACGATCAAGCCCTGAGTAGTTTATCCACCAGTCACAGAGATCAGATCTCTTGGTCTGTGATGAAGAAGTCAGAGCACGTTCCTGCCCCGCTTTCAATATGGTGGTGGGGTTCCTCTCTTGTACTCTTCCATGGGAACTCACCTTTGAACTCTCTCTGCAGCCCCTTCCTGCACCCTCTAAGGTGCTGAAGTGATGAGGCAAAGTCAAGAGCAGTCTCTTTGCTGCTTCTATGGTGAGGGAGCGCCTGGGGCAATAGTGTCTCCCTATCACTTTTCCAAAGGAAAACTTCTGTCCGTTTTGAAAAAAAATGGTGCTCTGCTTCTGTGACCCAGGTAGACCAAGGGCCATAGTAGAGAAGCTGCAGCACCCACTGTTGCACCAGGGGCCTGGCCACCCATTCACAAGCCCCACTTAGACAGTCTCTCCCAGTGTTTTCTTGCCAGGGAGGGTTTGTTGATTTAAAAAAAAGAAAAAAAAAGAGAAAATGGTGCTCAGCTTCTGCATCCAGAAATCACTAGAGTCCAAGCCCAGATGCTGTGGTACCAGCTGCTGTACCAGGAGAGCCCTGGCTGATAGCTTCCTAGCCCTCAACCATTCAGCCACTCACAGGCCAACTTGGTCACTGGCACATACACAAAATTTTCCATATACTCACTCACTCACACAGGGACTCACCTAGTCTGATTGGCTCATCATCAGCTATCTCTCCTGCCACAAGTGAATTTATTACCACTGAAGTGTACCCTTTAAATGTTAGGATGGTGAATTATATATGTATATTACCCTCCATAAAAATTTAAATAAATGTTTAAATATAAGAGAAAGGAAGAGATGATAGGAGTTGCTGGTGATGAAGTCTCTCTGAGGGTGGGAAAACAGGAGGAGCTTCTGGGAAATAAATAAGAGTGAGGGGTTGATGCAACCTCTGATCTTGCCACATGGAGTCCTGTCTCCTATCCCCCTGGGACAGTCCTCATCCCTTTCCACATCTGCCTGGGTACATAGATGTCCACAATGTGGCCCTCCATGCACAATATGAAGAAGCATTTTGAAGGTGCCTTGTCTACCATCCTACAGCCTGATACCTCTTCTCATACTCAGTCTTTCTCTTATTCTTCCTGTATTTCTTTATGCTTGTGTCTCTCCACCATCACCAACATATTCCTTTGATAAGGCTTTTAAATCTCATCTGAGACACAAAACATTGGACAGTTACAGGGTTTCCTTACCTATAACAGAAAGATGCAGTGGGTCACTCAGGTGTGACCAACTATAGGGAAAGTCACTGATAGAGCCATAGCATATATAGGTTGCTCCATGAGTTGTAGGGCCCAGAAAGAAGTAAGTCTGTTAAGTTTTATTGTGGTTACTCACCACAGGGAGCCTGCGTTCATGTTCCTCTCCTTCCCTGGATAGATGGTATGTGCCAAAGGAGCTCTTGGACATGCTGGTCAAGGTCACGTTCTCTCCTGACATCTCCATGAGTCCCATCTGGGCTGAGAGAAAAACTTTCTTGTACTGTTCTGGAAGAAAAAGATGAAATTCATATAGAACATCCAACCTGGAACCTGGGAATACACAATACACAAGGGCTGGTATTGTCTTTCCTTTGGGACCATGATACCCTGGGAGGAATTATGGCTCAACCACATGGAAGGAAGAAGTAATAGATTAGACACAGGATTTGTGAGTACCACATGGCCCTAGGCCACAGGGTCCAACTAAGGTCAAATGTGTGGGTGTCTTTGGGCTCTCCAAGTAGAGAAGGGAGTAGTGTGTAGGTACAATATAAACCATACTTATTTTCTGTTTCAGGACAATGAAGAAAGTCAGGAAGGGACATCATCTCTTTGGTGTGTGTGTATCTGTCTGTGTGCCTCCCCTTTGCCCTTCACCTCATTTCTGAGTCCCTGGATTGCTCCTGTGCCCATTCTTCATGCTGTGACAAGGGGTCTGTATTTATGTCTCCTTCCTCTCTACTTTGCTCCTATAGCCCTCATCAAGTCTGTCTCTCTCCATAAGAACCTCAGGTTAATCCTCCTCACAATGACTTGGGGCTTCCAAGTCCTGAAACATCCAGTCTGTATCCCAAAGAGGTTGAGGAGCAGATCTGGATGCTCTCACCTGTGATTATAATGTCCAAGGGGTCACTTGGATCTGATCATTGATAAGAAAAGGGTCTCACAGAACCATAGCATCTGTAAGTCCCTGTGTGGGTACATGTCATAGGACTCAGAGAAAAGTTGGCCTGGGAGATCCCACCTAGGTGCAAGGCTTCCTCAGTAACACCAACTCTGAGCAAAATGAAGGTCTGAAACATGATCTTTGAGAAGCATTGCAGGATTACCTTCCCTCTTGGTTCAACAGGGGGCCTGGGTGGTCCTGGAGGGATGGTTTTCTGTAGATAACTAAGAATAGAGCTTGTGAGTTTAGAAAAAGTCATCCATCCTCACCCCATTCCAAAGGACCTGGAATGAAATGGTTCATATCTCCATTTCTCTCTCTTCTTCCTCTCTGTGTCTCCATTTTTTCTATGTCTGTGACCCCATCTGTGTAGGTCTCCTCCATCTCTCTCCTTCCTTTTCCTCTGTTTCACTGTCTCTAGCAGCACCAGACTCCATTTACACAGAGAACATTCTTATTACTTTGGCTGTTGCATCACTTTCTTATCAATCTCTTTCCTGATTTCTATGGTGGGGTGAAAGTGGGACCATCCCCAGCTATATCTCTTATCAACCTGGTTCATGTGCGTTTGGGTAAACTAGAATCCCTGAGAAGAGGTAAAACCTAAAGCAGCATGGTAGGTACTATGGTACCCAACAATGTCCATGCAACCTGTTTCTGATGGGTGCTCAGGGGCATCTCCTGCCATGTTGGTGCCTTCTCCATGGTCCCAGCTTCCGTAGGGTGCCCCTGAATCTGGCTCATGGAAGAGTAATCCCTCCATCCATACTTTTGGTGGCATTATCATCATGCTTCTACTGATCTCTGAATACTCCCAGTTTTTCTGATTTGGATTCTAAATTTTTCCTTGACATGGTATCTATATTGGTTTCTAGTTGCTGCTGCAACAAATTGTCACAAATATGGAGGCATGACACAACACACTACCTTACAGTTCTGGAGGTGAGAAATGTGAAAGAGTCTCACTGGTACAAATAAAAGTATCTTTAGGGATGTTCTCCTTTTGGAAACTCTGGGGAGAGAATCTTCTACAATGACCTTTCCGGCCTATAGAGGTCCCCTGAATCCCTTGTCTTGTGGCCCTTCCTCCAACTTCAAAAACCACAGTGGCTGGTGGAGTCTCTGTCTTTCTGCATTGCCCTGATCCTCACTCTCCTGTTTACTCCTACTCTTCTGTGGACACTTGTGGTTACACAAAGTCCACTTGGATACTCCAGAATACTTGCCCCTTCTCAAGGTCAACAGGTGAAAAACTTATTTCATCTTTAACTTAAATCGTCCTTGAAATGTAACATAATGTATTTATAGATTTGGTGTATATTAATGTACAAAATAATTGGGGACACTTATGCTTTCCAACACAGTGCTTGATCCCTGCATTTAATCTTCTATTATTCAAAGTGATTGGTGAGCTTCCTGTTATTCTTATTGGACCCTGTCTGACATTGTCACCCGTAACCTAACATTCCGCAGGTTGAGACAATGAAACACCATCCTAAACACAAGTGTCTAACCTGTGACAACCATCTCCAGGAGGTCGCTGGGTGCTGTCTGTGGTGATAAGGAGAATGAGTAGAAATAATAGCATCTACACATTCCTGCATGTGCTGTGGTCACAGGGCCTATGGCAATGCTGTTTTGGAATATTTTGCCCTGGAGCTCAGGGATGTGGATCTCATCTTCTTTGCACAGTCCAAACTTGCTGAACCCAAGAAGAGAGTGACACTGAAGAGTCACGTGTCCTAGAGGAACCACACGGCTAGGCCAGGCAGACAGGGAGGGCTTGTTCTGACCACTTGGAGGAGGAGGAGACACAGACTTAGAGAGGAAGGTGTTGAGCCACCCCTCACTCACTATGCTAAGGCTCTTCCTTTCCATGTTTCTAAAGCTCCTTTCCAAATCATGATGCCCAGGAATACAGAAGAGACCCACCACTACACAGAAATGGCATGTCTTCCTATCACTGAAGTGTCGACTGAGAACCTTGAGCAAGTGCTGATAAGGGATCACTTACTTGATTTTAACAATGCAAAATTAATTAAATGAAACAATGAAAGGTAGACTAAGAATAGAGGGCAAGATCGATGTGAGTGAAATAACATCAGCAAATGCATGTAACACAACAAGAAATTCATCTTGCATTTAACACAATATTAGAATATTCTGTGCCAGAATATTCTAGAAATTCAGGGGCTTATGGCATATGGCTCCCACACCTCTTCTGGTAGAATTACAGCAGCCACACTGCAGCTCCCACCATCATGGAAATGCTTAAGAGCATGAGCCACCGTCCTGTTCTAGAGGATTGTGCTGTTCCTAGCACTGTTTCCTTCTTTATCTCTACAGGTGACACCTTTCCTCCCCAGACTCCACAGCTCTGAGCACCATAGTCTTCTGCATGTCACTTTGAGCTTGTTCCAGCCAAGGGAGAGCCTTGAAAGCCTCTCCAGGACAGAATCAGGTGCTGGATTTCCCAGGGATTCCGCTTTCAGTTCACAATATATTAACGCACACCATTTCCATGGTCAATATATCAGCCCACCTCCCGCGCTGTGTGTCCTTTTCTTTCAGAAAAATGCACTTATTTTGACTGGGTGGCAATCCAAGATTTGCAGAAGGACTCACCCACTAACGTCCCAATGCTCTGGACAAAGAAGAACCCTGGAAAGACAGATCCTGATAAAGAGGCTCTTCCATCTCCTCAAAAACCTCACCTTCCCCTCCTGCCCAGCCAGACCCTTGCTGGGCTGAAGATAATCTTCGCTCTCAGTCACCTCTATCCCACTCCAGATATCAGGGTTCTGTGCTGAGGAGACACCCAACCCCAGAACATATCTCCACCCTAGCATTCACTCCCTCCTTTCCATTCCAGAACTCACCAAGATGCACCAGACTGACCAACGTGAGTGACATGGTGGTGCTTCTGCTGAAAGGAGGCAGCAACCCAGCAAAATTAACCGGTGCACAAGATGTCATGAGAGGGCCTTGCCCATGCAGTTTACTTCTTGACCACAATACAAGACGGTGATGCACAAAGACTCTTCTTAGCTTGCATGAGGCCAAGGTGGGTGTCCAACCAATGAAGAAATATGGCTTTCTGGAGGTTATTGCCATTAAACTGTTTCTTCACATTGTTTACTGTGGCCAAACTCAAAACACATATCAGACCAAACCTCCACACATAAAAAGATTGAGTTCTATACCCAGTTGAATGAATTTTCACATATTTTTCTTTTTTTTTTTTAACCTGAGTCAAACTTTTCTTTATAATAATATACAAAATATCTAATAGGTATTATCAATATATGAGAGCAATTGTTAAAAATAAATTATCATAATTTTTCTTGTGTTATTTCTAGTGTTGAGCCAAAATCAGCTAAAATTTTTAGAATTGCCAGGAGAAGGATTGCATAGTTATTTAGAATCACAGAATTCTAGTTTCTTTGCAAAAAAAATCTTGTATACTCTAGGACTTGTGTTATCTAAAATTTTGTTTTGTGACCCAAGAATCCAAACTCATGGTTCTCTCTCTCTCTCTCCTTTCTGTTTCTTTCTCTCTCATTTCAAATTAACATAAACATCCAGTTACACAATGCTATAAGACACCAACTTTCAACAGCTTATCATAAATTTCAAAAATAAAACTCCAGAACATTTTAAGAAAGGAAATAAACTGATAATACCCTCCAAACTCACTCATGCCTGCTGCTGTCAGTTTTCTTACTTGGCCCCTACATTTCTAAAATTTGTGAAAACATTTAATGTGTATTGTAAATATGTAAAACTCAAATTTTTAAAAAAAGAAATGACATATTGCTATGTTGGCAAGGCTGACCCAGAACTCCTAGGTTCAAACTATCTTCCTACCTTGGTGTTCCAGTTCTGGGATTATAAGTGCAAGCCACCACACAAATAATAATTTGAAATTTTACTTGCATATATATGTATGTTTGATTATACACACACACAGTTAAGCATGCACATATGCAGGAGTTTCAAATTTAAAAAGTGAACATTGCTTCCTGCTTACTTTTACTCATACTTGTATGCCCATAACACAAACATATTGAATTTTAGAGGTCTATTTTATTCTTTTGGATTGCAGTATAATAGTCTTGCATAACTGTATGTAATGATCCATTTTTTTATGGGAATTTGTGTTGTTTCAGTGTTTTCTATTTTGTAGATCAGGCCTTTAAAATTATTATGGTGTGTTATCCCTTGCATATAATATGCTTTATATAGATGTATACAGAAATTAAATGATTGATTTTGATTGCAAAATGATGTAGAAATTAAAGAAAGTGCCAATATATTCCCACCTTGACCAAATTTGCCTGGTACACTGTTTATAAATTTTACTGTTTCTTATAATACACAAACATTCAGGTTCACTGATTTTTCTCTACTGTTTGACATGCATGTATACACTTTTGTATTTTTGCTCATCATTGTATTTCTTTTCTTGATATTACTTCAGAATTAATTTGCATACTTTTATGTAATGTTAATTGAAAGCAAGAATTCTAAGAGCAGTGAGAAAAAAGCATGAAATTACTTGCAAATGTAGACCTATCAGACGAAGAGCAGACTTCTCAGCAGAAACCTTTAAAGGAAGAATGGATTTGGGCCCTATTTTCTTTCTCCTCAAACAGAATAACTCTCAGGCAAGTATATTATATCCTACAAAACTAAATTTCATAAATGAGGGAGAAGTAACATCTCTCTCAGACAAGCAAATGCCTAGGGAATTCATCAGTGTAGACCATTTGTACAACAAATACAAGAGTCCACCATAATGAAACTAAAGGTGGAAATACACCAGTAGAAAAATACTTTAAGAATTTCTTAAAGTGAAAGTTAGATCTTTACTTTAGATCTTACTTCTTTTCAAACATATACAGTTGAGACTGAGTGTCCCTTAAGACATAGCATTACAAGTCATTTGATAAGATGTATTTTCATTTTTTATACAAAGTATTTTCTACTTTGGAATGTTTTTCTTTTTCATTGATTGCTTCAATGTAGGTTAATTTTTCCAAATAGTCTATAATTTTCATGTATCTCCTTGTCATATATTTCTAATTTAATTAAACTATTTTCATACATTATAATATCTATGATTCAATATCTTAAAATGTATTTTGGCGAATGTTTCATAAGCACTGCAAAATATTGTGGATAAGGAATTTTGCAATGAGAGTATTCTAAATATTAATTAGGTAAAAATGATTAGAAATTGTTTTAAGACTGCTATATTATTTTTTATTTTCTGTATACTTGCTCTGGAAGTGAGGTAAGCATTACTGTATCTAGCTATAATTTTTGGTATGACATTATTTTTCAGTTCTGCCTTTGTTTTAATGTCTTTTGAGATTGCATTTATAATTATTTTTTTAAATATATTTTCCTTTTTGTTATTATGAAGTACTTCTTTTTGTATCTCTAATATTTTCTTATTTAACATTTGCATAGTTAAACCTTCCATGATTTTAGTTACTGGAGAACAAAGGTTATAGTAACAATTTCTGAGAAATGTTAAATACCATATTTATTTCAGAGTTTTTTTCGTGTTTTAGGATTCTAGTATGAAATATTTTCCTTCATTACTTAAAAAAGTTGGAACCATCAACTTCTCACTTCCATAGTTTCTAATGCAAAGTGTGTTGTCCTCCTTATGTTTTGACCCTTTTGGTTAATATGTATTCCATTTCTGGATACCATGGGTTAAAACTTCAACACACCTTTTTGAGGAAAATTTTCACCCTACAATCCCCATCCTTGGATATATCCAGCAATGGAGGCCATATTAACACTTTAAGGAATTATCTAAGCCTCCCAGCTACCTGCCCCAAATATTCATGATCATTAAAGGCTGGTATAGTATAACAGTTGTTTTCTACTCTGCTGATCTCTAGTGATGAAGAAGCAAACAGGAGAAACGGAAAAACTCATCTTTCAGTGTAGGGTATTTTTCTTGTTGTTGTTGATCACTGTAAGTTTCCCAACTGGGAAAATTGTATCATGCAGCATTACCTGAAAATGCAGGCACACAATGTGCATATTTTCCAAGTGTGTCATTTAAAGATTTTGTTTTCAGAAATCGCTTCTTATTCTTGCTTTTCTTCCCTAATCATCACTTTTCTTCCCTGAGTATATGAGCTCTAGTAATCAAAGCACAGCATAATTTATTGTCTGCTCACATGTATAACCATTTCATCAATAACATCTATCTATATCATGTATATCTATGTGTATTACTTTAAGAAAAAGCATTCAAAAAGTACAATGTATCCTCCCCAAGTTATTCATTACATCAATTTTTAAGAAGCCATTTCAATGTTCTATCAGTTCCAGCAGCACCCAAAATCTGTCATGCATATATCCCAGGATATTACCTGGTCATGCTCTCATTGCCTCATGAATTTCAGGGATTACTGGATCCCTTGATCTGATGATAAGTCATGGAATATTCCATTTAAACAAGTTAGATATCTGAAGTTTATAGAGAGGGATACTTTGACCCACACTCAGTACACATGTCAATCTCAGTAAGGTTTCACTACCAGATCCTGGTGGAATGTGCTCCATGTAATGAGGTTGCTACCAGTTGCCTTGTTGGACTTCTCAAACTTTGCCATCACATCCAGATCTTGCTGATGTTTACAGGTCAGATGTTCAGCTACAGTGGTGGCAAAATGATCCTTGGTGAGAGAGTCAATATCAGGAAGTAGGGTCCATGTATGTCTCCTCTTCTTGCTCCATGGCTGCTTTATTCATGGACCCATTCTGCATGCCTTACAGTTGCTGAAAGAGAACGCCACAAACTTGACTGTACTTCTTTCTTTTTTTATTAATATTTTTTATTATGATATTGT